ACAACCCATGTCTCAGCAAAAGCTTGTCGAGGAGCGAGGGGAAGAAGGGAGAGTACATGCATAATTTTCATCTTTTGGGCCCCCTGCCTGCGGGACGCGGGACAAAAATATGTCCGTCTCAGGTTCCGCATGTGCGTGCCGACACAACCCCAGCCTACCTCGATCACAAGAAACAAGAGAGAGGGGGACTATGGCCCAGATAGGGGTACACTTCCGCGCAACTCGCCAACTTGTGGGTACTGTGCGAGCCTCTCCCCTGCTCGGCTACAGAAGGTGATGGGTTGATGGTGCTTTCACGGGAACAACATGCCGCACTTATCGTGCACCATGTCCATTTTTGTAAATGTAGTGACGCACACCCGCAGACACGTGATGGTATTGGGTTTGCCTACCAGGCAGCATCGCTCTTTCACACCCCTTTTTCGTCGGACGTCTGCACGCGCGCACCTGGGAGATAATTGCTTGCTGTAACTTTCTCACTGCTGCTGTTGATTCTCTCGGTGGATCTAGCAGGACTTTGTCGGCATCTGCTGACCCCTATGATGTCGTCGTAGTAGGAGGAGGTCCCGGCGGGTATGTAGCTGCCATCAAGTCGAGCCAACTGGGGCTCAAGACCGCTGTCGTGGAGTCTCGAGGCAAGCTAGGAGGTACCTGCCTCAACGTCGGGTGCATCCCTTCCAAGGTGTGGAAGGTTATGGGCTGAGATGGAGTTTCATGTCAGTTTTCGATGGTATCAATGTTTCGATGATTCATTCGATCACGACCTGTTGTTTTGTATCTTCGTACCAGTGCCGCAGCACAGCAGTTATGCAGCACTACTGCTGTACCTGGTATTCATGTGTATGTGAAAGTTTTGGATAGCAGAGGTTGATGGGTTGATCCTTACAGGTACTGGAACATACAACCGGGGAGGTAACAGGTTGAAGAAGGAAGTCTTTCGGCAGCAGTATAATTCCTCGTGTATACCGAATGTACCGCCGTGTTAGCCGGTGAGGCCGGCGATCTAAACACTCGGTAGTTGGTGACCTCGACAACTGCTGCATACCGGTTACGCTCGAATTGGCGTCCCGCCGAGATGTGTTCCGCATTTCGCACCAAGTGGCGGAGCTGTTCGTGATTCTTTGCTACAGAAACGAGGGTAACACCTTCCCTAAAAAAACTATCTAAACACGGACATGATCTAGTATGAAGAGTTTCTTCTGTGTCACCCCGCATTGGAACTGCTGAGAGGAACGCTTGTACCTACGCATTAGTAGTGTACAAAGCATTCCGGAACAGCAGTATGTAAACAACGTTATAGAGAACGAAGCTGATAGAGCAGTGTCGTAGTGCTCGTTCGCAAAGACGGTACACATAATTCATTATTCGACCCGGTGTTATTGGTGACGAGGAGAGGCTGCCAACTATTTCGCAACAGCAGTGTCGTGCGCTGAGAGGGAAGGTTGGCAAACTGAGGTAGAGGAAGCTCATGCGAACGCGGCGCAACCACAAGGAGTGCTGGTGTGGATGTAGAAAACATTAAGTCGGAAGCCTCTTGATGTCTTGATAGTGGAGAACTCAGGCATTGTACGTTTCGCAGTAAGAGGAGCGCCGCCAACCTTGCCGTTCCCTTTAGCCCTTGAGTAAAATGGAATACTGGAGGGCTCCGAGAAGGAGAGCTGTGCAAAGTATGGGTCCACATAGAATGTCAATTCCGGGCACTTCTTCAACCGACCGGTAAGGTTTCATGTGCAACACTGTAGCGTTGACAATGGTTGCACACGAGTTTCTCCTTAGCTGCAAGTAGTAGGCATGATTTATGCAATCTTGGAGTAGCAGGACCGTACTCATCCGTAAAGCTACAGGTGCCACGGCTGCGCTAAATTACATTGCGAGAAAAGGGCAGGGCCCCTCAGTTTCTGATATCCATGTCACGGACTGTGTGTGTTGCAAGTCGTGTCTCGCGATTCATGTCTCGCTGGGACTGTTGAAGCGCCTGTGAGCCGCAGGTGTATCGGCGGGTACATTGAACATGGTAATATCTATCGTGCAGGTTTAGAGCATTGTTCATCTTCCTTTTGAGGAGTTAAGACTAGCAACGTTTTCCTGGTTCACGCGTTTATCCTTGGCCTTACCCCGCTCCCCCCTGTGGCAGGCGTTGCTGCATTCGTCCCACCTGTACCACGAGGCAACTCACAATATGGCTGCTCATGGCATCAGCGTGGGGGATGTTTCCATGGATATTGGCAAAATGATGGAGAACAAGGACTCAAAAGTCGAGGGGCTCACTGGAGGAATCGAGTACCTCTGCAAAAAGTACAAGGTACGCGATCACGTTGTGGTCGGTGTTGTAACAAACGCCCGCAGTTGCAACACTGACGTTGTAGGGTCCCGTTCCTTCCTTCCATCCACGCTTGTCCGCCCAGCACTTGACGTGGCTCGCGTTGTAACTTACCTCAGGTGGACTACATCAAAGGGTTTGGCAAGCTTGGTGGGCCGAACACCGTGAATGTGGACCTGACGGAGGGTGGACTGCAATCCTTGGAGACGAGAAACATTGTCATCGCCACTGGTTCGGAGGTAACTCCTCTCCCTCCTGTGCCCGTAGACAACGCGCAGCAGAAGATTGTGGACTCGACAGGCGCGCTGGAACTCAAAGAGGTAACTATATGTTGTAGATCAGCTCGTGGTGCCATCATAACTTGTGCCCATCATGCTTGTCGAGTGCAGTGTCGCGTACCCCAAGCACAGCTACGGCTCATTGTTCTAGTTCATCGCGCTACTCGTTGCACAGGTCCCCAAGAGCCTGGTACTGATTGGTGGTGGCGTGATCGGGCTGGAGATGGGCTCTGTTTGGGCTCGGCTTGGCTCAAAGGTTACGGTTGTGGAGTTCCTGGACCGGGTGTGTCCTTCCATGGACCACGAGATCACCAAGGCCTTCACCCGTGTTCTCAAGAAGCAGGGGCTCAAGTTCAAACTTAAAACCAAGGTTGGTTATACGCTCGCGGTACTGGTAGGCGTTCAGCGCCGTTTCTGGAATGGTCGCGGATGATGCGAGAACTGGTGGTTTCGACGTGTGCTCTCGACAGAGGCAATAAACGTCCGGGCCCACGCACTTCAGCCCAACCCCGCAACCCCGCAAAGTTGTTGTAGTGGTACACAGCTTTCAAGCAAGGCGTGCTACGTGTTCTACTTGCATGAGTTCGTTCTTGAGTCCGTTTTGCTTGTTTCGATGAGAGGCGATACGGACGAACGTTCACATGGTGTGGTATATCATGGTGTCCCATTTTATGCTTTCTCTTCTGTTTGATGCAGAAAAAACTGGTACAGCAATCGCGTCGTTGGTATCAGTCGTCAGGTGCAGCCCTGCTTCGGGCATGGTCGTCCAAAGGGCGCCCTGCTCGTTAGATACGTCAGAAAAGAAGTCGGCAACTAAGTTTTGATACGTACCGTCCTTTGAACGAAGGTCACGTCTTCTGAGGTGACCGAATCAGGTGTCAAGCTCACCATGGAACCTTCGAAGGGAGGAGCGTCTTCAACCATGGAGGCGGACGTGGTGCTCGTCGCAACCGGCCGGCGGCCGTTCACGGCCAACCTGGGCTGCGACGAGTTGGGCATCTCACTCGATAAGATGGGCCGTATCGAGGTGGACCCGCACTTCCGCACGGCAGTGCCTTCAGTGTTTGCCATCGGTGACTGTATCTCGGGTCCCATGTTGGCCCACAAGGCCGAGGAAGAGGGCATCGCGTGCGTGGAAGGTATCGCAGGCTTCGCTGGGCACGTGAACTACGACGCTATACCTGGAGTGGTTTACACGTACCCGGAGGTCGCAGAGGTACGCGGGATCTTGGGATGTGTTGGTTTCGGCTGTTTTTTGTTGTTGTTGTTGTTGTTGTTGTTGTTGCCTTGGCATGAAAAATCATTTTGGTCGCTGCTGAGTACCTTTTAGTATCCACACCGTCTCAACTGACGCGGTTCCGTGGTCACAGGCCATCTACCAAAAACACAGGTACACACTCTGCACGTCACACATGTTTTAGTGTGATTGGTTTTTCATGTGTCCTCCGCAAAGATTTTGCCGAGCACAAACTATCCCGTGTTGCATTTTCGTCGCTCCCCAGGTGGGCAAGACAGAGGAAGCGTTGAAAGAGGCGGGGGTGGCGTACAACAAGGGAACGTTCCCGTTCTCGGCCAACAGTCGTGCCTCGTGCGTGGGTGACAAAGATGGAATGGTCAAAATCCTCAGCGATAAGGAGACAGACCGTATTCTTGGCGCTCACATTCTGGGGCCCAACGCCGGCGAAATGATCGCGGAGGTGGTGCTTGCCATGGAGTACGGAGCTTCGAGCGAGGATATTGCCAGAACGTGCCACGCCCACCCTACCCTCAGTGAGGCGCTGAAAGAGGCTTGCATGGCAACGTACGACAAGCCTATCCACTTCTAGTTTTCGTCTGCACCCTTTTGTTTCTTCGCCCAAGGGACGTGCGTGGTTTTCTAAGTGCTGTTGTTGGGTGTCATTTGCTGTGCAGGATTCAGGGCGAAGGTTGAGACAGGGCGGTATCATTCTTGAGCGGGTGAATGTTAGGACGCGTGCCTTATCCTACCGGCTGTGGGGCACTATTTTTTTCCCTTCTTCTTTTTCGAAGATTTGGCAGCCTCGGCCTTCTTGTCTGCTTCCAGCTTTTCTTGAAGGAGCCGAGCCGCCTCTGCCTCCATTGCGGCTTGTTGGGCAAACCTGAATATGAATGATATGTGCGGTTGATTTGTCTCGTTGGAATGGCGGAACAATGCATGGATGGATGCATTTCACGCCTCGCTTGCATATTCAGGGGCCTGGATCCATAACGTCTTGGTCTGATAGTTACGAAGACATGAAAGGGAACAGACACATTTCGCTGTCAATGGCTGTACGTGGAATCCCACATGCGGATATGTGCGGAAATGTGCAGCGTAGTGAGTACTTACCCTTTCTCTTCCGCCTTTCGACGTTCCTCGGCTCGCAGCTCTTTTTGATCCTCAAGCCATTCGCGGAGTTGCCTTTCAGCCCTCAGCTGCTCTTGCATGGCTTTTTCTTCTGCCAATATTTTATCCGCGATGCTCAGCTCTTGTCGGCGTACTGCTTGGCTTTCTTCAAATCTTTTGAAGTTGTTTTCCAATGCTGTTTTCACCTTGTGCTGGTCGGCCATTGCCAGACCATTCAGCCCAACCTCGAGGAAGGTGATGGTGTGATTTGATTCCATGCCCCGAGAGAGTGCCACCCCAGCTTCTGCCCCAAGCGCACACCTCCACAAATTGACGGATGTGAGGGTGCTATTTTTGCTGAACATGTCCGTAAGCGCTTGTATCCCCGACATATTTGCCCCGTCGCTAGTCAAGGAGTTCGATTCAAGGCTCAAACACTTGAGGGTGGAGTTCGAGCAGAGCGATTCGCCGAAAGCGCGGCATGTCAATACTCCGAGCTGGTTTGACCCTAGCGCCACGTTCACCAAGACTGTGTTGCGCTTGAGCAAACGTGCAACGTATGTACCGGCTGCGTCGTCAATGCCGTTGCACGATAAGTCCAGGCTGGTAAGTGAAGTGTTGGTCCACATCGACTTGGCAAGAGCTCGAGCAGTGACGGAATTGACGTCTATCCGAGCTGTAGGTGGCGTGGCGTTTTGTTTTACCTGAGCACGTGTTGGGCAGGGGGGAGGGATGTACTCATAGTCGTGCATGCCGTAGTCGTTAGACCATTGACCTCGCATCCCTACAAAGCCGGGACGGAGCACGCCGG